TGCTCTAGCTTGCCTCCTCTCTGCTGCCCCCCCCAAGTCCATTATGGCAGTTGCTTAAATAGCATTCATTGACCAATCAGAGCACTGCTCACGTGTACATTGGCCAATCAGAGCACTGCTCATGTGTACAACAGGTGGGTTTGGCTGCTGAATCACGGGGCTGGGGTCCCGGGCACCCCGACAATATACAAATTTAAAACCATACTAATAAAGTCTCAATGACATTCTTTAAAGAAATAGAAAAAAATATTCATGACATTCATATGGAACAACAAAAGACCTCAAACAGCCAAAACTCTCATGACTAAGAAGAAATAGAATGAAGGCATTACAATCTCCAACTTCAAGCTATACTACAAAGCCATAATAATCAAAACTGCATGGTACTGGAACAAGAACAGCCGTACAGACCAGTGGATTTGGATAGAAAACCCAGGTTTATGGGCAGCTAATCTTTGACAAAGAAGCAAAGAAGATACAATGGAACAAAAAAAAGTTTGTTCAGCAAATGGTGCTGGGAAAACTGGGAAGCTACATGCAAAAAAATGAAACTAGATCACTATGTCACACCATACACAAAAATCAACTCGAAGTGGATTAAAGACCTAGACATAAAAACGGAAACCATAAAATACGTGGAAGCAAAGATGGGCCAAACACTACACAACATAACTTCAGCAACATTTTTGAAGATAGAGCATCCAATGCAATGATAGTGAAGGCAAGGATAAATAGATGGGACTACATCAAGTTAAAGAGCTTCTGTACAGCAACAGAGACATTAGAAAAAACAGAGAGACATCCCACTGATTGGGAAAAAAATTTTCTCACACAAAACTAGTGATTAAGTATCGATCACAAAGATATACAAAGAACTGATGAAACTCAACAAAAATAAAGAACCCCATCAAAAATTGGGCAGAAGAGCTAAAAAGACACTTTTCCAAGGAAATGCAGATGGCTAACAAGCATATAAAAAAAATGTGCAACATCACTTGTAATAAGGGAGATGCAACTTAAAACCACAATGAGGCCCTCCCTGGTGGCGCAGCAGGTTAAAGCACACCACTAAAAAGATTAAGCCACTTCCTCATGAGTTCAATCCCCATCTGCCCCGGAGGAGATCCACATGGCACGGCAGACCTCTCCTGACCTTCCCGCTGCTCCCCTCAGCAGTGTTACTTCATAGATCTGCCTGTTCTACTCCCCACTCTGTCTCTGGTGAATCCTCTCACCCTCTGCATCTCTGGCCTGTACCCCAATTCTGTATGAATAAATAAATCTTTAAAAAAAAAAAAACAAAACAATGAGATACCACCTCACCCCAGAGATAATGGCACATCTTCAAACAACTAGCAACAACAAATATTGGCAAAGATGTGGAGAAAAAGGAACTCTCCTGCACTGCTGGTGGGAATGCAAATGAGTACAGCCATTATGGAAAACTGTTTGGAGGTTCCCCAAACTGCTAAACATGAAGCTTCCATATGACCCAGCAATCCCACTCCTACGTATCTACCCAAAAGACACCAAAACACTGATTCAAAAGGATACCTGCACCCCCATGTTTACTGCTGCTGTATTTACAAATGGAAAGACATGGAAACAGAACAAATACCCAAAAGTGGATGCCTGGATTAAAAAGATGTTGTACATATACACAATGGAATGTTAGTCAGCAAACCCCCAAAAAATAAACACATGCCTTTTGCAGCAACATGGATGGAGCTGGAAAAGATCATGCTTAGTGAAATAAGCCAGAAAGAAAAGGAAAAATACCAGATGGTTTCACTCATAGCAGGAATATAACAGACCAAGTGAGAAATAATAATAATGAACAGCTATATACTAGAGACATTTTATAGGGGTGGAGTGGGGAATGAGATCTAAAACAGTGGGCAGAGGGAAATGCACTGGACTATGGTGATGCACATGGGTGATTTGATGATGGGAAGCCCAAGGGGATTACAACTGAGATGGGAAAATGCACAAAATGATGTAAAAATAAATTATATTATTCATTTAAAAAAAAAGAAAATGAGGCTAGACAAAGACTGTAAATAATATATATGCAGTCATGTATCTGACTAAAGACTAGTATCTAGAGTTTTAAAGAAGTTTTGCTATTCACTAATAATAGGCAATGCATTGCCTAGAGGCAGAAAATATACCACAAAGCTTTAGTAATCAACACGTTATATAGGCACTGGTATGAAAACACAACAGACCAATGAAACATAATAGAGTCCAGAAATGAACCCATGCATATACAATTAAGCTAGACTATACAGTGGGGAAAAGGACAGTCTCTTCAATACCTGGTGCTAGGAAAACTGGACAGCCAAGTAAAAGAATGAAATTGGATCACCAATTTCACCATGCACAAAAATTTAACTCAAATGGTTTAAAGATCTGATTGTAGCATGTGAGACAATAAATCTTCCAGGAAAAAAAAAAAAAAACATACAGTAAGCTCCATAAGTTTAGGTAATTGGTTTTTGGTTTTTTTTTTTTTTTTTTTAATGACACAGCAAACTAATGAGAAATAAAAGCAAAAATAAATAGTTCTATATCAAACTAAAAAGCTTCACAGCAAAGGAAACCAACAAAATACTACTGAATCGGAGGAAGTATTTGTAAATTAGACATAGGATTACAGGCTAAAACACAAAACATACAAAGAAATGTAAACACACAGTATGTTTAGAAATAGGATCTGAATTAACATTTTTCTAAAAACTGGCCAACTGGAACATGAAAAGATGTTCAACATCACCAATCACCAAGAAAAGCAAAACAAAACCACAATGAGTTCTCACCTCACAAAGGCTAAAATAGCTACTATCAAAAAGACAAGAAATAACAAGTATGGAGTTAGGGAGAATCTTCATAAACTATTGATGGGAATGTAAACTGGTACGTCCACTATGGAAAATGGTATGAAGGTGCCTCAAAAAAAAGAAAAAAGAAAAGTACATACGCAGCAACTCAACTTATTGTTACTTCTGCGAAGAAAATTAAAACACTAGTTCAAGAAGATGTAAGCCCCTTAAGTTCATTGTAACATTATTTGCAATAGTGAAGATATAGAAACAACCTACATATGCACTAATACATGAATGGATGAAGATGACATGGTGTGTACACACAGTGTAATACTATGCAGCAACAACAACAAAAAATCTTGTCATTTGCAACACGGATGGATCTTGGGGATATTATGCCAAGGGAAATAAGCCATACACAGAAACAAACAAAGCATGATTTATGACAGGATAGATAAGGAGCTCACTTTACACACCTGTTATTTGAAAATTTCTTGAGGATCTATTATTTTGCAATTAAAAAAGGACATTTGCAAAAAGAACAAATGTTTCCATCTAAACAAAGATCAAATATGAAACTCCAAATGTAAAAACTATGTTTTAAAAACTGGAAAAAAATATTTACGCTTTTATAAATGAAAAATGTTCCTGTCTACAACAGTTCAGAGTGAACAGCAATAATCAAATGTAGTAAAATGATACTAAGACCAGTTCCACTAATAATGTAGACAAAATATATAAGGTTAGTACTTAAGTTCTTCAGATAATTATCAAAGATGGTGAATATTTTATTTAAATGGTAAGCTGCCATTTAGAAAACTGTACTGCCTCCTTAGCAGTGTAAGGAACATAGTTTTAAACAATCATTTACAAGCAAGAACAGTCACAAAATTCAATGATCACAAAACTGAAAAAAATCAACCACACTCAAATATATTGCTGGAAGCACTATCACCTATAGAAAACCACCTATGAACAAATCCAACAACTAACTAGAATGAACAATTATTCATTAGTAAAACACTCCGATCCATTAATTCTGCTTTGGAACACATGCCATAAAATGCTATGAAAATAGCCATAAGTAATGGTAACCACAGAAAGCGTAAAGTGCCAAGATACCCATAAAACACCATTTACAAAATAAATTCATACACAGAGGAATGAAACAAAACATAGCATTGTCATGATGGAATAAAGTTATGTGAATTAAAAATTATGTAAACTAATTTAATGCTCAGAAATGCATAAAGTTTTATACCAAAATAATATGGATTCACTGATTATAACTATGTTATAACAATTTTTTTTTCCTTATGTAAACCTCCTCCATGCAATTTTATTCATTAAGAAATATACAATGTTTAATAGTTCATCTCAGAACTAATGAGTTTTAAAAAAGAGAACCAGAAAATACTTATTAAAAATAAAATGGGAATTTTGAAAATTTTCCATATTTAAACAAACTATTATTCATTTAGCACATTATTTGCCCTGAAACTCAGAACATACCTGATGCAATGACAGGATCTTTCATAAGCTCCCTAGTTATTGGACATATAAATTCATCAGGAATTCCAGAAGAAAGGGATTTCACCTCTGTCCTAAGCTCCTCAATTTTCCTCAGAACTTTACTGCGCAGGCCTAGAGATTCTAAAAGAAAAAAATCATCTATTAAGGCTGGACCACTATTGGTAAACTTTATGCAAGTTTTTAGCAAACTAGATTTTATTTGCTACACCCAAATACCTCAGACATAACTGTTTTACCCCATGGAACTTATTCATAATTTCTTTAATGAATCTTTGCAGTATAGAACAGTGTGTGATTAAAATGCAATAAATCAGCAAATAGAACATTATTTTAAACAACCTTAGATCTCAAAATTGCAACATACACTGCACAAAATCAGAAAAGGCTCATTTTTATTTGTAAATTTAATTAAGCAAACAAACAAAACCTTTCAGTGTCTATTTGCATTTTTAGAACTAGCTGAACGTTATACTTTAGGTGGAGATTTTGTGGGGTGCTACAGGCATTTCAGAATGTCTCATACTTCCCATAAAAAGCCAAATCAGGCCCTCCGTGGTGGAACAGAGGGTTAAAGCACAGCACAAAGAAGCTTAAGCCATTTCCGCATGAGTTCGATCCCCTCTCCTGACCCGCTCGCTGCTCCCCTCAGCAGTGTACTTCGTCGATCTGCCTGTTCTGTACCCCAATCTGTCTCTGGTGAATCCTCTCACCCTCCGCATCTCTAGCCTGTACCCCAGTTCTGTACGAATAAATAAATCTTTAAAAAAAAAAAAAAAGCCAAATCAGCTTTCTTTTTATTGGGAGGTAATTCTCCAAGTGTTTATCTACTTGACAACTTTGTCTCAGCAGTCATCCTTGAAAGCTAAAGTCCCCCTCCCAGAGGGCACATTGTTTCTTCAAGTACAAAGAAGTTAATGTCTTTGCTAGTAGTCCCCATTTAAAAATCAGGGTTCATGAGCTCAGGGTTCCTCAGCCATGACACAATGTGGTGACATGATTACTAAACTGTGGAACTCTATTGAGGCTCACAGGATACCCTTATGGAAGTGTGGCAAGTCAAATGAGCAGCTTCCTGCCTCTTCGGGACCATTTCACTGCTTTCCTGTGACTTCTTTCCTATGTAATTCACTGAAACTAAATTGAGGTTTTTGTTTTGTTTTAAACAATGTTTTTTTTTTTTTATTTTAATTGTGGTACTACTGTATTAGGAGACTCTGCAGCAGGTAGTGGACTCACTACCATAATCTGAAGCCATATACCATTGTGCTTTCCAAGTTCTTTGCTTCTACCATACCTTTTCCCCCTGAATACTTCAGTTCTACAGTCAGTAAAAGTAATTCAAAAGTACCATTAACATGTGCTTTCACAGTGATAACTGTATAACATAAGGATAAAGTAATTAATAGTCTAAAAAATGTATTTGTCAAAAGCATTGTGATAACATTCATATTTATAATATAGAATACAGAAAGTATATTCTGTATTCCCCATAAAAAGCATTTGATACAATAACTTTAGATTTTAAAATTAAAAAAATGTCGCATGTGTTTTTATGGTTTCTAGGAAAACAAGAGCAAAAAGGAAACTTAAAAAAAGTGCTTCCAAATTAGGAATGTATGATTATTTGAATATAAGAACTGACATGATATTTGATGGCTGCTTGGCATTTCTCATTCCAAATTTCTACTACTGGGTCATTTACAACAATTTCAAAATTCAAAAATAGGTAGCGATTTGCAATATTCCTGAGAATAAAGATAAAAGCTTAGGCAAGTGTGCAGATGAAAGTCACATGATTTGTACTGGAATTACTGTTTGTCTTGTATAAAAGCTCAAAGTGACCTTTCATACTTCATTTTTCAAGTGAGATATTAAATGTTATAGTGGAGTTCACAAATGTGGCAATTCACAAAATGTCTTTAAGATATTTTAGTCATTGTCCAATACCTTTTGTAACTGAATTCTGCCTGGACATTCCTTCTACAAATGCAGTGTTAGATATGAGAAATTATCCCTATTGTGCCTTTGGTTTTCACTAACACAATCCTAAGAAAAACTATTATTATAGAGTGCCAGGCTAACAGATATTCAAGTCTATAGAAAGTTCTTTTATTGTATGTTTATGGAAGGCCTATTGAAAAAAAGATTTTATTCTGCTTGATTCCTTAAAAATTATTTTTTAAATACCAAACAATATATACTTTGTTTTTTAACAATTCAATGCACATTACTGTACAATTAATCTACTTCTTCCATATGATAAATCCATATCAGTGCATATCAAAATCACGAGAAGCCACTAGGATGGCTATAATTCAGAAAGCAAGCAAGTGCTAATATGTAGAAATACCATACATTGCTGGTGATTACAGCTGCTTTGTAAATAGTCTAGTAGATCAACTATAAGCAGATAGTTGCCATATGACCCACTACTAATTATACATCCAAGAAAACTGGAAATCAATGCCAATATGCTTACCCACAAATGTTCATAGAAGTATTTGTAATAGCTAAAAACCAGAAACAATCTAAATTCAATCAACTGATAGATAAGCAAAAAGTACTGAATCTCATTGTATGTGAATTTAACCTCAATTTTTTAAGTATATGTTTTTAAAATTGCAATTATATAATGACCTTACTGACCCAAAGAAATGCCAGGTAACACTTCTTTTCCCTAATAAAAATTTAGTGTCCTTCCATTCAATTACATACAAAATAATTGCTGTACTAGAATGTTATGAAAACATGAATGCAACTATAATGCAGAATAAATTACAAAAAGTTGCTTTTAAAATTGCCTATCTACTAATCTTACCAATTTTCAAATCATCTGCCAGACTCTCTTTGGTAAGATTCAGCAGTTCTCTTCCATCAATGTTATTCACTTTGAAAATATCGACAAGATCTTTTAAACCTTGTGCACAAAGCCAAGTTGACACATCATCCTCTGACCAAGCTTCGATAAATTGCTTTGGTTGATACTCTGTGCTCCTTGCTTAAAAAACAAAAGTATGCACAAATTAAAAGGCAGTGAAATAAAAAAGAAAAAGTATTCCCTTTATAAACATCCTCACTTTACATTACAAATTGAAACTTCTTAAATCTATTTTATCATTTTAACATCCATTTAAGAAATTAAAACAAACCCCACCATATGTAATTAAAGCATTATTTAATAATACAGTTATTCTTTGGGAATTTCTTTCATTCCAAGAACAATTTTTAATATATTATATAATTCTTATCAGTAAAGGTATTCTTTTTGCTCTACCTCCTATGTATATTAGCACTACTACTTGGTAATTGTGATAATAAAAATGTGTCAACAATAATAAAAATAATGTTGTCAAATTATGTCTTTACACTGCTTGATGAAACCAAAAATAAAACTATAATTCTGTTTTGCTCTCAAGTATGTTTATCTGAAAAATTACAGGAGAATAAATAAATGTCTTATAAAACTACAGTAGATGCGCACCCAAAAGAGTTTACCAGAGTTTTAGTGTCAGCCAACTACTTTAACTTTAGCTTCTCTAAAATTGTTTTTAAATTACATTAAACTACAGTATATACTTCATATACTGAGAAAAGCAACATGGATAATTTGTCCAAAATTTAGTGAATTCCTGAATTTCAAAAAATTCTTTTAATGGTGAATGTGTTGAATTGGGTTAAATATGATGTCTTTACTAACCTTGGGCAAGTGTTTCCAGGTCAAACTGCCAAATGTTCACTGTTTTGTCCATTGAACCAGTAGCAAGTAAATGGCTATTTGGTGCAAAAGCACAAGTTGTGACGTACCTAATTAATAAAAACAAGTAGTTGTTATTCTTAGATTAATTTTTTAGCTATATTAAAACAAAGTTAGGGCCCTCCCTGGTGGCGCAGCGGGTTAAAGCACAGCACTGAGAATCTGAAGCAGCTTCCGCATGAGTTCGATTTCCGCCTGCCCCAGAGGTGACCACATGGCGTGGCAGGCCTCTCCTGACCTGCCCGCTGCTCCCCTCAGCAGTGTACTTCGTTGATCTGCCTGTTCTGTTCTCCACTCTGTCTCTGGTGAAGCCTCTCACTGCCCCTGAGCCTCTGGCTTGTACCCCAGTTCTGTATGCACAAATAAATAAAATCTTTAAAAAAAAAAAAAGTAAGATTAAGTTCAAACCTGGTGTGCTGAGTCAATATGTGAAGTATATTTTCAGTATTCTGAAAAACAAGAAAAACAGCTTTATACTTACTGAGGGAAAAATAAAGTTACTGATAAAGATTCCTAACCAATGTTTATATGACATATATAACTTAATATTGAATCACTGAAGTTGACACTTTAATGAAGTATAGCATGTACATATTATCAGATACTTATTTTACTTTCTCTCATTTGTTAGCACTGTTGTTTACTGAACACCTTCCTAGACATTTTTAGTATTTAAGACTGGGCTCTTGCTGATTTTCTGAAGTAACAGTAACCTAAATGTCTATTATGTAAAGTAGTTTTTATTCTTGCTATAGTACTTGATTTATACCTCTAAGTGAGTAGAATTAATCACTTAGATTTTGAGTACACTGAGTTGTTTATTCACATCTAGATATATTTAATTGAGTCAAACATTTTATGGAGAAAATTTAATGTCAGCCATTTTCATGAATGGAAAATCTCATGGAAAATTCTCTAGAAATATTCATGACAGGTAACTTTATAGCCTTTGTAACTTGATCTTTATTCACAAGGATCTGCCAAAAACTTTTTTCCCCCCAATTCCATTATAAGTCTGTCTTCTAATTTCTAAATCCAATCAGAACTCTACAGTGATAGGTCACTCTCAGCTAGTCCTGGTAAATGTTCATCCTTTGCTGTTACATCTGGCTGTAAATGTTTAAGAATAATTTATTTAAATTTATTTTTTTGGATAACTGATCCTCTTTAAATGTGTATTGCCTTTGATCAGATTAAATATTGATCTTAAAATCTTTATTGAAATGTATAAGGGCCTGTCCCAGAATCAATATTTTACTTGGCTATTTTGTCATTTCTGAAAATATAAATATTATCCTCTTGAACACAATTAACAAAAAAGTATACACATTTTTTATTTTACATAACTAACCTTGAAACTTATTGACTAATAAGTAAATGCAACTAACATAGATGACACACACATTTTAAAATACTTACAATATCATACACTATGACAGACTTATCCACTGATCTTTAAAAGAAAAAAGAAATTGTGGGTGAAAAGTTCTATATATACAAAGTACAATATGTAATTAGCATTTTTAAATCATTTCAGTATTTTACAAAAGCTAAGATATTGAAATACATTTAATATGCAGTCTTTTGTATGAATTTTTTTTCTAAAATGACAAAAAACATACATAAAATTTATTAGAAAATTATAAACTTTATTAAATCACTAGTATATACTATTTGCACTATATAGCCATGAATAAACATTTGACACAATCCCACATCAAGTTAATAATTCAAAGGGGAAACCACAAGGACAAGCCACTACTTCTGCTTGATGTTTCAGATAACGTCATTCTTTATCATCGCAGTTGGCTGTGCCTTAATTGCCAGTATATGTGCTTATTCCATTGCTAAATACTAAATATACAAAGAAGGTGTACACACACACACACAAACATACATTTATATACATCTTGATAGTGACTCTTTGAAAACTGTAATACTAAACTTAATATGAATTATATACGACTTCCTATAAGAATATGAGCATTAAAATCTATCACCCAGGATTATTCTAGTGTCGAAAAAAACATACAAAGTAAAACAATGCTATAAAAAAGTACATAATTTAAAAGATAAATAGCTTCTACATGATACCTTTTCCCTTTTGGAAACAATATTTATGCCACCATGATATATGTTGCATAATGAGAAATATGTCAATAGATATATTGCTAATACAAGTACTAGGAATATCTATACAATGTAAAAATGTTGATTGATTTTGAAAAGATAATTATAGTCTGACCATAACAGTCAGACCTTTTGAAAAGCAAAACTTCCTTGTTTAATCAACTATCCAGAGTTGATGATGGATTCTGACTACAGATTCTTTGTCACATGTTTAAAGTATAGATTACCTTATAATTTAAATGTTCAAATACAAAACAACACATAAGAAAATGAAGTGTATATAAATAAATCTTGGATATCAAAACAGAATTATAGCATTAAATATAAAATTAATCAAAACTAATTAATAAATATTGGTAGCTAACATGAAATATTTATATTCTAGATATAATTCAGGGACACTGTTAATCAGTCCTAAATTTCTCAAGTAATAAGGTATTACTGGAGTGGCTAAAATTTTTAGGAAAAACTCAATTATGTCTAAGCATACTAAGAAATTCTAAAAGAAAATTTTACCGTCTGCAACTCCACTAGATACAATTAAAATTAACCCATCTTGGGTCTCTCTCTGGTGGCACAACGGGTTAGAACACAGCACTGCAAGCTAGCCACAGCCACTTCAGTGCCAGTTCCATCCCTGGCTCCGGAGGTATCCCACTTCAGTGCCAGTTCCATCCCTAGCTCTGGAGGTGACCCACATGGTGCAGCAAACCTCTCCTGACCCTCCTGCTGCTCCCCTCAGCAGTGTACTTTATTGATCTGCCTGTTCTGCTCCCAGCTCTGTCTCTGGTGAATCTTCTCCCCATCTGCACCTTTAGCCTCTACCCCAGTTCTGCATGTATAAATAAATATATCTTTTTTAAAAAAATAAACAAAAACTGGCCCTCCCTGGTGGCTCAGCGGGTTAAAGCACAGCACTGAGAATCTAAAGCCACTTCCTCATGAGTTCAATTCCCACCTGCCCCGGAGGTGACCACATGGTGTGGCAGACCTCTCCTGACCCGCCCGCTGCTCCCCTCAGCAGTGCTCCTCATCGATCTGCCTGTTCTGTTCCCCACTCTGTCTCTGGTGAAGCCTCTCACCGCCCCTGAGCCTCTGGCCTGTACCCCAGTTCTGTATGCACAAATAAATAAAACTTTTAAAAAAAAAAAAAAACTAACCCATCTTGAAGATCTATTATTAGAAAAGCTAAATAATTAATTGTAATCTTTATGAGCATTGTTCTGGGAAATCATAAATCAGGGCATTTAAATTTTATAATAATCTTAGGAAGAAAGTGCTATTGTCTCCACTTTATAATTCAGAAAAGTGAAGCTGAAAGAAGAGACGGATCTAGTCTGCTCAAGGTTACACAGCTAGGGAATAACAAAGCTGAAACTAAAACTTCATTCTGTGTGATCCTAAAATCCTTATTTTTAGATTTTATATTTCCCTAGAAAGTCATCCCTCAGAGTATATTAAAATTATAACTGATTCATTACATATATAGATACCCTGAAAATATAACCTAAAAAGCATATAAAGCAGATGGCATGGCTATTCAAATTTCACTAAAGCTTTCACAAGCCATCAAACTTCAAGAAATGTAATATCTGAAAACCCTCCATGACAAGTTCCAATATACACATTTAGGCTAAATGAGTGGACTTGTTCAATAGGATTGCTAACAATACTGCAGAGAGTGTAGTGGCAAAAAGATGATTTGTGTTTTGGAAAGGTAAGATAAAGCCTTCTTATGCTACTCATTACTGAGAAAGAGAAGGTTGATTTTTAATACTAGTCATAATTCATGACAACAAAACTATCATCCACATTTATAAAATAGATTAAAACATAAACATCTTGCTAGAAAGGGGAACACTTCCAATACCTTAGAAAATAAGACTCTTGTCCTCCCTTTCCCTTCTGCTAAGCAGAAAAGAAATGACAGATGACTGGAAATTTTGGAGGAAGATTCTGGGACTTGTGGATTAGTCCCTTCTGGATTTTCTCTTTTCTCGGATCTGCTCCTACAAGGGATGTTTTGGTCTATGCACCCACGAGGAGGTGGTGAGCCTGTTGGTGCAAATCTACAGTCATATAAGCTAGTGTGCTCTGTATTTCTGCCTCAGTGGTCTTCACTGAAGAAAAGAGGATGCTGTTTATTGAATTCTAAAAATTCTAACAATGATGGACATTTAAAAACTGTTATCTAAGGAATCCTAACAACTAGAAGAATTTATGGACAGAAGCCCCTGTTTGAATTACAAGAAGTCCAAGTCTTCTTATTTATATAGAGGCTAATACATGTAATATTCATTTTATCTAACTGGATCAAGAGAAATAGGGTAGAACACAAAACAAAGTCAGCTAAGGGGCAAGACTTAGCAGAAGTGCTATTATCAGACAGATGTTTAAAAAGATTAAGGGGAAAAAGTTTTACTTCATGATGTACGATGCCATCATAGTTCTTGAGCAAATGGAACATTTGAAGCAAATTTAAGACTACCTTCTGCTAATCTGGATTGAAGAGATTTTTTTAAATGTACAATAATGCCACTCCTTTCATTATTTTTCTAAAGAAAAAAAATACAATGTTGATATATAATGTGTTTGTTGTTGTTAAACGAATCAAAAATATTTGAGGCAGTTTTTAGTTTTATTCTCTGTAAATAGCTATATTATACCTACACATACTCAAAAAAGCAAAAGGTCTATAGGCTCAGTTTTAAGAGCATCAAAGAACTCTAAAACCAAAAAATAAGTTAATCACTGAACTAAATCATGATTTGTTTTTCTTTACTTCACATTAGTTCCCATAGCTCCTATAGCTAGGCATGTTTAAAAGTTTCAACTGTTCTCCAAAAGCTTTTCTATAAATTGCAGCATTCCAGGTCCTCTATCATTTCTACAACCTATTATTACATCTTCAATGTGCTTTACCTCATTTTTCTTAGAGATTTATATGTGTGTGTGTATATATACATACATACATGCACACACAGGACTGGGATACAGGCCAGAGGTACAAGGGGTGAGAAGATACACCGGAGACACAATGGGGAGTATAACAGGCAGATGTACTGAAATACACTGCTGAGGGGAAGCATCAGCTGGGACTGGAGAGGTCTGCCATGCCATGTAGGTCACCTCCCTGGCCAGGGATCAAACTCGTGGACCAGTGATTGCGATAGCTTCATAGTTCTGTGCCTTAACCCACTGAACCACCAGGAAGGGCCCTACCCCATTTTATATTCACCACACATGCTGTGTATTGCCTGTTGGGATGCCCTCCATGTTCCCCAATCCAGCTATATCTTTATCTGTACATTCTAAACTGCCTTTTGCATCAGCACCCCATATCTGTGGTCTCTACAACATTCTTAGTACAACTTCTGACCTGTAATCCCATTCCATTTTCACTCATTTTATCTAGTCACTTTCTATTTAGTCAATATTTTTATCTTACTGTTTTTTCCACTGTCTCCCTTTTTCTCATAAGTATCAAGTCTATTTACCAATGTCTTTTAATCATCAATAGAATCTATCTTGAGCAATTAACTTATTTACCAATAGGTATGACTAAACAGCTCTTAATTCTCCTAAAAGACCTAAATGTTTATACTTTACCAATTTTCATTTCCAATTCCTTCACTTGTTTGTGTATTTATCTAAATAAACTAAAAATATCTAAATGTGGCCTATTGCAACTTATAAAACAAAGTATTATGGGAACCTCCATTTATGGAGAATGATTGGGAAAAGTACAATCGAGTTCATGTGTTAATTAAGATTCATATATAGGCTATTGGCAAAGTTAAAAAGAAATTTAAATGTGATAATTAACACAAAACTGTATTGAGGGAGTCTCCTCTAAATGTACCTGCATTTATTTTAGACACAAAAACACAGAAATTATATGGAATATCACAACACAACACTTTTTCCATGATTCAGGGGGTATGGGCATATAAAAACCTTAGTTTTATTAGGTTATCCCAATCAACCTATTATCAGGACAGAATTAAAGTATCCTAAAGGGCAAAAACATTGTACTTATATGCCCTATTACAACTGTCAGAGAGGAGCGTTCCCTGGTGGCACAACAGATTAAAGCGTAGCACTATGAAGCTAACCACAGCCACTGCAGCATGAGTTCCATCCCAGGCCATGGAGGTGACCCACATGGTGTGCCAGACCTCTCCTGTCCTGCCTACTGCTCCCCTCAGCAGTGTATTTCAGTACATCTACCTGTTCTGTTCCCCACTCTCACCCTGGTGAATCTTCTCACCCTCCATATCTCTAGTCTGACCTCTCCTGTCCTGCCTATTGCTCCCCTCAGCAGTGTATTTCAGTACATCTACCTGTTCTGTTCCCCACTCTCACCCTGGTGAATCTTCTCACCCTCCATATCTCTAGTCTATACCCCATTTCTTATGAACATATATAAATAAAACAAAAACAACTATCAGAGGTAGCCACTTAAAAAACAAAAACAACTATCAGAGGTAGCCACTTAAAAATCATAAAAAATTGAATTTCATATAATCATTTTGTCAATTAACCTTTCTTCTTAAAAATAGTATGCATAGTATGTCCCCAAAATAATAGAATTAAATCCAACTTTATTTTTTAAACTTTCTACTGATTTCAATTCTAGGTCAAAGAAAAACCATTTTCATCTTTTGAGAAGAAGGACCACATCTAAAATTATGCAACAGAACCCTCCAGTTGACCAATAAATGACAGCAGGGCTAGGGACACCAACCCCCCAGTCAAAACTTATAGGGCAATCCTCTGTATTCATGTAAAGTGGACTGTGCAGTTCAAACACATGTTGGTCAAGGGTCAACTGTACCTGGTTATTATTTAGTAGTGCTTGGCACACATGAAAGAGACCCTGTCATTCTTAATTCAGGACGTTTTAAGTGGAGGTTAGTGCCTGAAATATGTGGAGCCAAAGCTGTTATGAAAAGCAATGAATGTGGGTTTCAATGCAGTAGGCTGTGAGATCAGACAGGGAAGTTTTACAAAATCCAACATTGGAGGAGAAAATATATAAAAGAAAACTAAAGTAATTGAATCAAGCCATTGCAACCCTACTCCATTGCTTTACAGAATATAAAAAATAAAAGCCAAAGTTTAAATTTTCAACGAAGAATTAGGTATCATAGAAAGTGACATAGTAGACCTGAAAAAAATAAACAAATACAAATTCCAGAAGCTAGAAAACAAGGTAATCAAAATTAAGGACTTATTACTGAACCAGTTCAACATGAGTAAAAAGGAACTATTCAGAACAAAGTACAAGAAATAGAAAATGAAAAATATACAGAAGGGTAGATAAGTGAGAAAGTATTCACTCTCACCCCAGAATTAGAGAAGGTAAAGATCAGTGGCAACATTTGAAGAGATAATTAAGAAGGATTTCCCTTAAATTCATGAAATATCTTTCTAAATATTTAAGAAGCTTGGTGAATTTCAAGCATACTATATAAAAATAATTCAAATTCTAGACACACAATAAATGTACAGAAACCACAAACAGAATTTTTTTGAGAAGTCAGCAGAAAAAAATATTAATTACATCCAAAGGAACAACTGAATAAACTGATTTTTCTGCAGTCATCACAAAACAATTAAGTCCTATGTTATATTTGTCCCAACAAGCCAAGGTTGGTTTAACATTTGAAAAATCAGTGTAATTTATCACAGTAATCGAACAAAAGAGAAAAACTATGTGATCATTTTAAAAGATGCAGGAAAAGGCATTTGTTAAAATACAACACTTTTCATGATTTTTTATAAAGGAGAATATTTAATAAAGCTTATCCCCCCATCATACAATGATCATGAATAGTTTTTAATAATGAAAGCGGTCCCTTCGCAATGAGAAATCAGACAAGAATGGCTATGGTCTCTATTCCCATTATTCTGGTAGTGTTAGCCAGTAAGTAGTTCAGTAAGGCATAAAAGATGTTAAAAACACAAGGATTAGAAAGGAAGAGACAAAAGTGATCATTAACATATGATTTTGTGCACAGTTAGAATTTTGTCAAAAAGTAGAATAAATCCATCTTCCCATAATTATTTCTCTATATTAGTGACACCTTTTGTAATAACGAAAAAAATTAAGTTCTTGGAACTCAAAAGATAATGCACTCCATTGAATATAATTATGAAGAGAAACTGAAGACTACTATGTGGAAAAAAATGCTGTATTCATGGATTAGGAGTCTCAATATAAAGATGTAATTCTCAAATTTATCTGTAGGGGCAAGTTGGAGACAATCTGGTAAGGTAATTCTGAAATTTACATGTTTTTGTCCAAAAGCAGGCAACAGTCAAAATATAAAGTGTTGGACACAGAGAGTGGCATGAGAACAAGGATAAAAAGAAAAATAGAAAAAACTAATAGGCCCACACAAACATTGTTAGTGATTCTGATAAGTTATCAAAGTAGTAGAAAAAGATGATCTTTTCAGTATATAATACTGAAACAACTGGATGAATATGGAAAGAAATGAAACCAATTCCTATCACATATTGTACCCACAAATTAAATTTAAGAAAAACCAATGAAAGTTTTAGAATATAAGAAATATCTTCATGATCTCAGAACAAAAACTGACCATACAAAAATCACTGCAAATCCACACATACACATATATACATGCACACACACACACATACACATCTATGTGTGTGTAAGATAAACAAATCAGTACGAGAAAGATAACCTAGAAAAATGGTCAAGAAACATGAGTAGGTACCTCATGAAAGAGGAAATACATATGGCCAACAAACTTCTGAAAGGGCTTTAAACTAATTTTTTTTCAGGGAAATACAAAATAAAGCCATTATCAGGTAACACTCTTCAATTTTTCCATCCTAAACAATGTAAAGACTCACAATACCAAGCATAGGCTAAGACAGGAAATAAAATTACTATCAGTAATCAATTACTGGAGAATTTTGGTATTACCTCCTGAAGTTGAAAATAAATTCCATCTATGACTGATCTGTTCCATTCCTATGTATTTATCCTACACAAATCATGAACATATGCAATGAAGATACAAATATAGTAATAGAATTATTATTGTGATGCTCCTAAAATGGAACTAAACTTTATATTCATCTACATTAAAAGGACAAGTTGTAGCATATGCATGTAAAGGACTATCACAAAGCAATGAAGACCAAAAGCCCACAGCTATCTGCAGTAACATGAATGCATGGGAAAAGTTGAGAAAAGGTAGGCAGGCACAAAATAATTCATACTGGATGATTTGCTTAAGTCACTTTAAAAGAAAACGCAATACTGCTTAATGAGCCAGGGTTTCTGTCATCAGAAAGGTGAAAGAAAGGATTTCTGCAACAGAATCAACAGAATCTTACCTGGTAGTGTTTATACAACTATGTTGGTTGACTAAGCCACTCTTGATATTTTGTATGTACTTTTCTGTATGTCTGTTCTATTTCATATCAAAATGGTTTAAGCAAATCAGCAGCTTACCCGGAGACTAGCATCTGTCCATTATGAGAAAAAGCACAAGCCAGAACAGGAGCACAGTGTCCACTCAGTGTACTTTTATACTTTAATTCAAAACCTGCAAATAATAAGAGAAAGAGATCCACATTTAGAATTCATTTTTTAACTCAAAGCTATTTCACTTACTTATCCAGTAAATAATCTTTTAGTGCCTAAAGGACAGAAAATGAAAAACACACCAGGCATCTCAGATATCAGAACTCAGTTATCATTGATTAACTGGTTTTAAAAGTTGAATAATGCGTGAAGAAAATGCTATGTTCCCCAAAGGCTGGAGGTAAGAGTAGGGACTGTGAGAAGGTGGGAGGGTGTTAACATGGGCATCTAATAAATACATACTAAAAAATATGAATCATATTTTAGTTGTCAAAATAATCAAGTGCCTATAGTTTAACATGATGTTATTTTCTCATTACATAAAAAAGAATAGTGACTTAAATTATAATTTCAATGTACCTTATACTACTCCTAAAAAAGGTATGATAACAATAAAATCCTTTTTATGCTTTCTATAATTACCAAACAGAATTGTCACAACTATTTTAAACATAAACCAAGGAAATTCACTATTTTAGTGACAACTTGCAAAAATAATTAAGAAGTCGGTGTGGGAAAATAAGTGAAATCTGTGATTTGCTCAGACCTAATGAATACTTTTTGGAAGTGTTAATGATTTGGAAGAGAACAAACATTTAACTAAACAATAGGTCATTAGAGCAGGTAAAAGTTTCAATCTTAGAACTGAAAAAATACTATTTTTTTTTTAAAAATCTGAGAGCAGTAAAGGCAGTGCACGAAATATACAGATCAGTAAATAGGAACAATCAGAGCAAAAATACTGACAAGCTGTGAACCAAATGAAGACCTATAAAATTTGTAGTATGACCATAATAGGGTTACATTCTCAAATATAAGATACATGTGTCTATTAGTCCTCCCTAACGATAAGCAACATAATTAGCTGTAAATGTTAACTGTTTTTTAAAAAAGTTTTAAATGCACATGTTTATAAACTGTTTTATATTTTAAAAGGTCAGTATAAGAATATATTTTTCCACTGGGAAATTACATGCAAAAAAATGAAACTAGATCACTACCTCGCACTATCACAAAACCAACTCCAAGTGGATTAAAGACCTAAACATAAAGAATGGACACCATAAAACATCTGGAAGCAGAGATGGGCAAAACACTATATATGACATACACCTCAGTAACATCTTTAAAGATACAGCACCCAACACAACAAGAGTGAAGGAATGAACAAACAGATGGGACTATATCAAGTTAAAGAGCTTCTGTACAGCAAAAGACATTACAAAAAAAACAGACATCCCACTGGTTGGGGAAAAATTTTCTCACAGAATACTGGTGATAAAAGGATTGATCTCAAAGATATATAAAGAACTGATGAAACTCAACAAAATTAAAGTGAACAACCCCATCAAAAAATGGGCAGAAGAGCTAAAAAGACACTTCTCCAAAGAGGAAATGCAGATGACCAACAAGCATATGAAAAAAATGTTCAACATCACCTGTAATAAGGGAGATGCAAATTAAAACCACAATGAGATACCACCTCACCCCAGTGAGAATGGCACATCTTCAAACAACTAGCAACAACAAATGTTGGCGAGGATGTGGAGAAAAAGGAACTCTCTTGCACTGCTGGTGGGAATGCAAACTAGTATAACCACTATGGAAAAGTGGAAGTTTCTCAAACTGCTAAAAATGGAACTTCCATATGACACAGCAATCCCACTTCTAGGTATCTATCCAAAAGACACAAAAACACTGATACAAAAAGACACCTGCACCACCATGTTTATTACTGCTTTATTTACAATAGAAAAGTCATGGAATCAACCCAAATGCCCATAAGTAAATGACTGGATTAAAAAGATGTGGTACATATACAATGGAATATTACTCAGTAATCAAAAAGACAAACTCATGCCTTTTGCAGCAACATGGATGGAGCTGGAAGGCATCATGCTTAGTAAAATAAGTCAGAAAAAAAAAAGAATACTAGATGGATTCACTCACAGCAGGAGGATAAAGTACGGGGTGTGGAGGGCTGGAGGGGGTGAAGATAATGAACAACTATATTCCAGAGACATTTTACGGAGGTGGAGTGGGGAATAGGATCAAAAGTGGGGAAAAGGTGGGGGAGTGTGCATTGGACTATGTAGTGATGGCACATGGGAGATTTGGTGATGGGAAGCCCATGGGGATTACAACTGAGATGGAAAAAGGCACAACATGATATAAAAATAAGCTAATGTATTATTTTATATATATATATATATATATATATATATATATATATATTTCCATATAACATATGAGAAGTTTAGTTTTGAATAATTAAAATTTATTATGTTCAGGGGCCCTCCCTGGTGGTGCAACAGATTAAAGCTCAGCACTATGAAGCTATCAACAGCCGCTTTGGCATGAGTTTGATCCCTGGCCAGGGAGGTCATTCACATGGTGCAGCAGACCTCTCCTGACCTGCCCACTGCTCCCCTCAGCACTGTATTTCACTGTCTGTTGTGCTCCCCACTCTTCCTCTGATGAATCTTCTCACCCCCTATAACCACCTGTACATCTGGCCTGTATCCCAGTTCTGTATGCATAAATAAATAAATCCTTAAAAAGTTTATTATATTCAGTATAATCACATATGACTATTCTCATGTTTTCGTATAAGAATTTTATGTTATTAAGAGAAGGAGGGCCCTTCCTGGTGGCTCAACTGGGTTAAAGCACAGCACTACGAAGCTGGTCTCAAATGCCTCAGAGGAAGTTTGATCCCCAGCCAGGGAGGTGATACACATGACATATCAGACCTCTCCTGTCTTGCCCACTGCTTCCCCTCAGCTGGTATTTGCCTGTTCTGCTCCCCACTCTGTCTCCGGTAAAACCTCTCACCTCCCCTGCACCTCTGGCCTTTACCCCAGTTCATAAATAAATAAATCTTTGGGGAAAAAAGAACAGAAGAAAAAGATAGGCCAGAGAAGTAATGGCACTGTTATCTTCAGCATCATTTAACTGAATACAGTGAAAGAATATGTTGCCTCATAGGCAACAAATTTTCACAAAAAAAGAAATGTATTTATTTCTTGATAACAGTCCCTTACCCACAAACTCATAATGGCCTTGGCCCTACTGAGGCCTCTTTTTAATGAGGCCTTGACCTTTACGCATCTGAACACATGAACAAACACTAACACAGATTCTAAGGGCTCAAGTCTTAAAAGTGCCTGCCTGAGAAAACTCATAGCTGTCGAAAGAATTTACTGTTTGTTCTTAAATAAAGATAGGACTCCTGTCTTCAGCGTCTGTGAGAACAGACATCCAACTTGCAGAAATGGCAGTTCACTAACCCAGAAGGATTTCATATTGACCAACACTCCTTCTTGCACTTTGTTAATTTTTCATTTTCCTAACTGTACAGAGTTCCCTTCCACTTAAGAACTCCCTCTCTATTCCATCATTCTCCCTTTACAATATCTCATTACTTCTATACAAAGTCAACTCTCTATGAACTGAGTTCACGCTGGACTTTTCCTACTCCATTAGAAAATTACCATTAACATCTAGCCTTATCACTTGCCACTTGTCACAGTGTCCTGCTCCATCTTTGGCAATATTATGAATAACAAAATGTAGTTTGTGGTTTAAACAAATAATAAGACTATTTTTAGGCATCTGAAGCAAATGGCTAATTATCCACACAGTTTCAGAGTTCCCATTAAAATAATGAAGGAATTAATAAAGCCGTGAATTTCAATTCTTTTCTTAATGAAAAGAATGGGAAGGGGGGTGTCAGTAAACCAGAAACTGAAACCAATTTGGGAAAAGCAGAAAGCAAGTGAATTGATAAAGTATCTAGTAACAGCCCAGAGTGCAGAGAGTAGAAGAGGGGGCAAAGCCAAGAATACCAATCTACCCTAGAAAACCTCAAAAGCTTTAGGATTATTTTTAAAATGATTTGTTTATTTATGCATACAAGAACTGGGGTATGCAGAGGTGCCGGAGGTGAGAGGAATCACCACAGAAAGAGTGGGAAGCAGAAGAGGCAGATCTACCAAAATACATTGCTGAGGGGAGCAGTGGGAAGGTCAGGAGAGGTCTGCAGGACAATGTGTGTGGGTCACCTCCTTGGCCAGGAAGCAAACTCATGCTACAGTGACTTTGGACCAACTCATAGTGCTGTGCTTTAACCTGCTGCGCCACCAGGGAGGGCCCAGCCTTAAGATTATTAATGGTCAGGGAACAGAATCAGAATAACAGAAAAAAAAAAAAAAACTAAACTAAAAGTCTGTTTATGGAATGCTCAATGTCTACCTTCAATCCCTGTTGATTTTACCCATAGTAATCTTCAGGAAGGCTAAATGCTTCTCCCAGGCAAAACATTTCGACCTAGGGGGCCCAGGGAAAGTTCCAGAGAAACAAAGACTCCTACATTCTCTAAACTTCCTAACAGGACCAACAACCCACCTCTTTATCCTAAAGGGAAGCCAACAACAAGCCACCATAGGCATAGAGCTTTTAAAAAGCTTATTATGAAAAGTAAGTAGAATAATAACATCAGTTCATATTGAAGAAGGTAATCATATGAAAGAGAAAGATCAGAATAAAAAAAAAGGACTTAAGTGTAAACAAAGAAGATCAGGAAACAAAGCAAAAAAATTATAATTGATACACTGAGCTTTAAGATGACCTTGATCATAAAACAGAAGGATGGTACTATTAAAAAAAGTTTTCAGAAATAGAAAATGATTAATGGGATAAAAAATTCAAATGGGGGTTAAAAGATAATTCTGAGGAATTTTTCCACAAAGTGGACAAAAAAGTAAAAAAGAAATGTTGGTGGGGGGAGTCGGGGTGGCGTGGAGCACAGACTTAATGAATGAGGTCAACAGGCCCATTAATGTGAGTTATAAAAAGAGGAAAGAAGAAATTAAAAAAATAAATGAACACTGTATCTTGAATGTCATGTTTCTTGGCTGAAGAAACAGTACAGTGCATGGGGGGTAGAGGAGAACACCCACCAACAAAAATAAAAAAACTAGAGTAAATACATTTTCAGTGTGATGGTAGACTAGAACAGAAACTGTGATGACTACTTAAAGAGCTGAAAACAGATGAAGTGCCAATTGATTACCTCTGCTCTGTGTGGTGATGTGAAGTCATAATCAGCAATGAGCACCTCATTTTAAAACACTTTGAGTAACTTAGCTATCTCAATACTAAACCTAAATAATACAGAAATTTTATCTGGATAACAAATCATCTTAGAGAACTACAAATGAATACATACCTAGCCTATGGGTAAAAGAAACAACCCAAATTTTGATCTGGCAATCTTGACCACACGATGCCAATCTAAAAAAGTGAAGGCCTTGTTCTCCATCTAAAAGTATAAATTTGTTAAAATTCGAAGAATAAAAATATACAAGCTTTAAATACAAAAAAGTTCTATTGCTTATGCTAAGTTCTATAAACTCTGTTCATTTTAATTACATTTACAAGAAATATTAACTTATACCACACAATGAAATATAGGTAAATTGCAATAAGCTAATTCAAACCCATTTTCATTTAAGAATTGATCAGAAATGTTATTTATTCTGTGGCAAAAATAGGATTATTTTTCTCATTTAAATTTAAAAAAACACAAAGAATAGTCAATATATTATAGCATTTATAGATATTAATGACAAATGAAAATAAAGTTACCTGTTCTATTTTTCTTAAAAATATACTGTCATTCTCACAAATCTTTCTAACACTTTTAAAGGATATATATCAATCAGTTTCAGGGAATTTATACATAGATTAATATCCATTTCAACAGAAGTTGAATTAGAGAAACTAAGAAGGAATACAGATTGATATTTTATTAAAAGAAATAATCCTAGGCCCTCCCTGGTGGCGCAGCCGGTTAAAGCACTGCACTAGGAAGCTAAAGCCACTTCTGCATGAGTTTGATCCCTGCCTGCCCCGGAGGAGATCCACATGGTGTGGCAGACCTCTCCTGACCCGCCTGCTGCTCCCCTCAGCAGTGTACTTTGTCGATCTGCCTGTTCTGCTCCCCGCTCTCTCTCTGGTGGATCCTCTCACCCTCCGCATCTCTGGCCTGTACCCCAGTTCTGTATGAATAAATAAATCTTTAAAAAAAAATAATAATTCTAGAACATATTCTCAAGGCAAGGCAGGAATGAGTGTTACACATATTTTAATATCTCACCTAGAATTCTCTGCCTGGTTTAGGGAAACAAGCTGTCAACTATACATCTCTTGTCATAAAGATATGACAAGGATGTCCTTAGGTTTACTTTAACATTAACATAATAATGTTACTTTATTTGAAAATATTTTCAGATTATTTATAATAAAAAAATACCTAAATCTCCCTACATTATATAATTCACCAGGAATTCTCTGAGAAGATACCACACAAATGGAAAAAATGGTTCGTATTACAGGCTGGTCTTAAATTACAAAACACTAAAAGAGTAGCTTATCAACTCTAAATTAGGTAGGGATTTTAATATAAGAATCAGTTTATGAGGGTTTCACTGGTGGCACAGGGGTTAAAGTCTCAGCATTATCAAGCTATCAATGGCCACTGATGCATGAGTTCTATTTAGGCCAGGGAGTTACCCTCTACAGTGCAGCAGACCTCTCCAATTTGGCCCACTCTCAGCAGAGTATTTCAGTAGATCTGCCTGTTCTGTTCCTCAGTCTCTTTCTGGTGAATGTTCTCACGCCTAGCACTTCTGGCCTACACCCCAGTTCTTGTATGCATAAATAACTTTTCTACAAATGGGTTCATTCACGAAATAGAAATATAGTAATTTGCTAAGTGATGTTAAAAAGTTTTAAAAACTTTAAGGATGCTTCCTTAAAAGGAATGAATTAAAAGGGCTCCTGATTTTATTAATCACCAAATGGAAATAAATGAAAAAACATTCACATACAACTGAGGAATACAAATACAAAGTAGGAATGACTAGTACTTAAAAGAGTAAAATAACTAACCAGAAAATGGTTGTGAAGAAATATCACAGCAGGTAATTCCAAGATCATGTGCTTTTTCACTATGCAGACACCTCATTTTATCATCCCACACTGTTAAATCTCCACATGAGGAGCCAGTGACAAAGAAATTTCCATCAGGGGAAAATGCACAGGCTACCAAGGAACCATCTTTAACACTACCACATCTGGAAAAAAAAAAAAAGATTTTCATTTCAGAACAGCTTTATTTTACAATCTCTAACAGCAACCTGATACAGTGAAGAGGACATATGATATTACAGGACTTGAAAGGCTAACTGATGCTTACAGGAATAAAATATTATATGTAGGTTATAAATAGATATGCTTTCTAGAAATGAGATTTAAATGTTATCTTAACTAGCGTGTTCAATTCTAAACTATAAGGCTACATCACACATCTTATTCCATATATCAAGACAATATAAACACATTAAAACCTACAGAACTGGGGGGAAAAAATCAGTGAGTGACAATCAACAAAATTAACTCTAATAACATTTCTTTTTAAAGATGAGACTTTTTATTGAAAATATGTCTTTGGAATCAAAAGTACTTTCAACTTGTGTATTAAAATCATTTAAGGCCTTTCATTAAAATCAGTAAGGCCTTTCACCTTCAAATATAAATTTTTTATAAAAGGAAGATGCTGTGAAAAATTTAATAGTAACAAGTTAAAATTATTTTGGAAAGCCAAGGGGGTACTGTGCTGGTGATAATATATTTTCTGAATCAGGAAAAATAAACTGGTAAAAATCCAACAACTAGTGCACTATCCCACCCAATAGTTAAATCTACTTTGGTGTCTCATTTTATAATGTTAAATTACATAATTAAGAAGCCACTCTAGAGAGGCAAAATTCACGACCTGATAAGTGAAGATTTCTTATTGACATCTGTTTTCCACTCATAAAATGACATTCCATTTTGTGCTTTCTTTAAACTTTTTAACGCTACTTAAATCATATCACCTTCTTCAACCCAATAGCTAACCCTAAATGAGCAACAGTTGTTGATCCCAGCTGGTAGTTCTGCTCTGAATGTTAGGGGGAGGAAGGTAACATTTCAAAGTTCTATGATTTTTAATGTACTTATGACATTAAACTGTATACTTAAATAGTTTCAAAGGTAAATTTTGTTAATATATATCTCACTACAATATAAATTCATAAAAGTACATGGTTTTAATGTTGGTAAGTTGCAAGAATAATACCAGTATAAATTAATTAATGTACTTTTATCCAAAAGGAGTTTTTCACATAGTTCCTTTTAGAAATGATACCACCACCCACTAATCACAAGGTTTTTTTTTTCCTTGGGGCTCAGTAGTTCATTCCCCAGCAAGAATCCCAAGCAATAAACAGCTTGTCCTTAAACTAACACTTACCTAACATTACTGAGTTATTGAGAACACCTGAGCCATTAATGACAACAACAAAATCTAAAAATAATGGATCTTATTCAAAAGATTTTTCTTTGCCTGACTCCTACAGTAAAAGTCCATAAATCTAACAAATTTAACCTTTATTTTACAAAATATTCAGAGTTAAGAAAAATCTACAAGAATTACATTAAGTGTCTGTTTTTCTGACTTCAGAAGACCAAAAGATCTTTCCCTGTGATGTCTGAAAAGTATCTGCTTCTTAATGTCGTCAAAATATTCTGCTTTCTGTTATTTCTCAACAAACCTCTTAGGATTAAAAAATTGAAAATATCTAAATATTCATACCTATACAACTTGTGTGACTGTGCATTCCACAAGACAACAGTTCCATCAGCTGCCCCTGAAACCACACACGTGGAATCTGGGGAAAACTGGCAAACCCTCACCGGGCTACCACTGGGCTGTTCCATCACTGCCAACATCTGTCCATTTTGAGGATTCCACAGGACTGTGGTACCATCTGTTGAACATGAAGCCAAAATATGTCCTGAAGGGGAGAAACAGCACCAGTGGACAGCATAGGTGTGAAATTTCAATGGAGAGTGTGGCAGTTCGATAAAGTCACTTAGGGAGTACAGGCGAACTGTTTTGTCCAAGGAGCAAGTTGCCAAGAGGGAAGAGGAGAAGGCACAGCAGTTGACATCATCACCATGATCGGCTATTGTATGAATTAGTTTCACCATGTTCTTTATAGAAAGTAAAATATCCTGCAATTTTTTAAATAAAGGTTACTTCATCCTAATAACAAAATAAAAACAACACAAGTCCCTTAAAAGGGTGAAAATCAATTTAAGAATTTACTTAAAGGTCCTAAATTCCTATTTGTTAATGACAATCTACTATACCTTGGATAAGGATAATTTAAAGGCAAATAAATATAATACTCTAATACTTGATGATGGTCATAGTCATCACTAAAATTCCATATCCTGAAAAAGAACCTGGTCAATTAACTTCAAACTGATTTGACAGTGAATACCCAAAACTTTAATACTGCTTCACTCCAGATCTAATAATCTCAACTCAAAAAGATTTTTCACTATTTTTAACAAATTGCTGCTTCTTCCACAGGATGGAGCTAAGGCTATTTAAGATCCAACCACAGGGATCCCTCATAAAAACAAGAAGCTTCATTTAAAATTTAACTGGCAATGTTGAAATCTATCTTATTAATGGTTGGTCATTTTGTATGATAATCCATAAAAGGATATAAAATATTTAAGATAGAGAATCAACATGAAATCAAAGAAACTAAGGCAAGGAAAGCAAAGAGAAAGAGTGGCAAAAAAATGGATTTAGCCAGAGTGCACTAAGAACAAAATTTCTCACCACAGCTTATGAAACCCTGTACGTTCTGGCTCTTGGCTGCCTACTTCTGCAACCTGGACTTCTGCACTTTCCTCTCTTTTCTTCCCGCCCTCCCCAGCCAATGTAGCCTGTCTTTTGGATCATCATAATGTGGTTTTCTTATGCTAAATTCTGTTCTCTGCTTTTACTATCCTAATTTTCACACAGATTTCAATTTCAGTGTCACTCCTCAGAAAGACCTCCTTCATCTAAAGTAGCTACCCTCAAGCTAGCACAGCATCCTATTTTAACTCTCATTAACTATCACCATCGGATGCATGTTATTTCTCCCAAATAACAAATTTTATAAACTCCAATGTAGTAAAGATCTTGTCTATTTTGTTAATTTCTGTAACCACTTCATGTAAAAAGTGTCAGGTATCTATTGCCCTTAAGTATTTTAGTATGTTTTTTCAAAAATCCACTAAGTTCAAGCCTTTAGATATTATATATGAACTTAGAAGAATACGATTAGGAAATTAAAGTTGCAAGGTTTTTTTAGTGGAAAAATGGCAAAGACAGAGGCAATCACCTGGGGTTGTAAAGTTTATAATCCTTGTTTGAATCTTTACAGAGACCCTTATAAACAAAAGGATGGAGCTTGCTTTTTCCCATTTCCATCTTATCCCAAAAGTTCAACTCCCCCACCCCCCAAACAAACTCTAAATCATTAAATCAAAACCGCCGAAAAACCTGGTAGATTATTACCACCAGTGCTCGAGCACTGAAAACAAGCAAGATCAGGTGGTGCCTTCTGGAGAACTCCCAAATCCCAACCGTGCAAACGCATACAGGTAATTTTCCAAACACTGGCTTGCACACTGATGTGACACCCAGCTCCAGGTACGACTGGAGGCCACACAGTCGCCTGGGGCAGTTGTAATCAGCAGAACAGTTTTGAAAAGCTCTGACACCTGCCTCTACCTGGCCATAGGATTTGGGAGGATTCAGCCCTCAGCTGTCAAGCCTTTAACCCCTCGCCAGTGTTAACACAAGCATTTCCTTCTAATACAAAGCAAACCCGAAAAATGCCAAGAACTCCTCACCCTCCCTTTCCCCATAAAGCCTGTGACTTACTCCCCAGCACGCAGGCCACAAGCTTGCCCAAACTGAGCGTCCGCCAAGCCTCAGCTAACTGAGCTACCCGCGGGACGTTTTCACTGCCTCGCGGTCACTCCGCGGCCGGCTGGAAGCTGGGACTTCCGGGGCGCAGACCAGAACTCCGGTGGGGCCCAGATGGGGTTTCCACGCGACTCCAATAGCTCCCACCCTCCCCACGCCCGCCCCCCAGCTCCCAGGCTGAGGTCTCACAGCCGCGCCTCGCTCCCGCTCCGTCAAGCTCCCTGTCGCGCGCTTAAAACCAAACTTCGAAAAACAGGATTCAGTCACCCTGAGCCAGGAGGCCCCGCGGGCTACCGACAGTCGCGCTCCCCACCTGCCACTCCTGTAGCTAAACTAGCCCGTGGGCGCAGCCTATTTCACCTCCGAGACCCCAGGCTCTTGGGATCCGCCCTCAGGTGCCCGGCCAGCTGCGCGGATCACGTGACGCGCAGGTGAGGTGGGCGGGGTTGGCGCCTTGGAGACCACGCACGGCAGAAAACAGGACCCGCCCCCAGAGGGGACGTGCCAGACTCAGACGCATGCGCACACCCTCCCGCTTCTGGCGGAAGAAGTCTGCATTCTGTCTTATCTTGAATTCCAGATGAATTCAGTCCCGGAAAGAGCCTGTGTTTGTAATTTAGTCCCATCTGGGGAAATTGAGGTCCGAAGGGCTAGTGAGTATTCGAGCCGTTGTAGCAAATGTCCGGTATTCCGGCTTAAAGTTTTTGAGTCAGCTGCCGTATGTCTCCGGTCTCAGTTCTCGACCTCACGGACTGGTCTTTTCTTTAACCTAGCCCTCAGCGAGGGTGTCTTCTGCCGTCGCCTTTGTACTACTGTTTCTCAAATTTCCCGTTCCAAGACTCGCCCCTGGACCGTAGTCTTGCTGTTCCCGCTGTACACGGACAGGTCCAGAGGGATAGAGGGGATTCACCTGCGCCCAATTTGTATTTCTTCCAGTCTTACCAAGTGTCTTCAAGGTTCTTGGGGAGACCGTGGTCTCCACGTGTAATTAACTACACGTGGTTCTGCCATCCCCTTGGAGATGCAAAGTTTGCCCAGAGAAAATAGTCCCTAGACCTCTCTCAACTTTGTTTAATTAGGTGTGAATTCAGGTGAAAATCAACGACACTGATAGTTTTTGTTTTTAATCCAGCCATCTTTTAATTTTCAATTAAATTAGAGAATTTTATGAGGAACCACTTTAAAATTGTCAACCTGGGGTGGGGGGGTGAAAGTCATATTTGAAGAGGAATTACTTAAAATATTCAAATTTTAAATGAAATTGCAGTGATGAAATGATTTTTAATGAAAAAGAGCAAAGAAAAGAAGGGTCAAAGTTTATGATTTGGCACGTTTCCATATCTTTAAATTGATAGGAGAGTGCATCATAATTGAGACATGGCACACCTGACTGCTTAAGTACCTACAAAATCATGTTTTTCTAAAGACTTTTTGGTTAAATAAGTACCTCTCTCTAGAAAATTTACAAAATAAAACCAGAAATGCTAATAATCATATAATTCAAAGATAACAATTTAGATAACATTTATTTTTGGTCTTTCATTTATAAATATCAATGATTTTACAAAAAGTCTTGCAAACTACCTTTTTAAACTTAAACTTACAACCTATGCATTTTTCATGTCTAAAATTCCAGTAACTTTTTTCTCTTTTAATGGTTCACATGGAACCATACGAAAATTTATTTGGTATTTCCTTACTGTTGGATGGCTGTTTCAATATTTTAGAGCTTTGTATAAATAGTAAATGGCTTCCTCGTTATCCACATTTATAAATATTACTTACAATATTGTTAAATAGAACATAAGGCTGTAAATGTTACTAATAAATATTGTGTTTTTTTTATAGAGGTGTATGTTTAATACTCTCAGCAAAATATGCCTGTGCTTGTCGCTCCACATCCTTCACAAAACTTGAGTAAAACCTTTTATATCTTCACTTTGATGAGCAGAATTACTTATTAGTTAAGTAAAATATGTAAAAGAAATATATGCCAGTAATTTAACAGGATCACCTCAAGGCTAATATGATCAGATTGTCCTGCAGGAAAATGCAATTTCAGAGAGAGAAACCCTATTATAACTGATCTTCAGTTTATGAGTTTACAATTTGGGAGACGTTAATGAAAATATCTTGTTTGTATACTAAAAACGTAAGAATTTATAGAGATCTTTGATCATGTGAGTGAAGTGGTTATCTCAGAGATACTCAAAATTATTGAAACTTTGACTCATTATAATAAAGGTTTATATATTTTAAGTATTCTTTGACTCAATTATATAACTGATGAGTAATCCTATATTAATTTTTTTATTCTGCTCCAGTAATAATGCTATTTGAACTATTCAGAAACTAATTTCATTTGAGGCACCATTGATTTACAACACTGTATATAATTTAGAATACAATCACACACATTCTTCCAGTGTGTTATCACATCACAGACTACAAAGGCAGCTACATATTAAAATCTGCCACTCCTACCAGTCTTCTTAAGTGAATCACAATTTCAGTCCCCATGTTCCTGTGTTGTGAAGTCTCATTCTTTTCTACGACCCCTTCTTTAAGTGATAGGTTATAGAAAGGTAGGATGTTAAGCCATACTCGGCATACTTTCTCGCTGTCTTAAACCAGTGGTTTGACAGTCTATCAGGATGGCCTAGGGCCCTCCCTGGTGGCACAATGGGTTAAAGCGCAGCACTAAGAAGCTATCTGTGGACACTGCACCAGGAGTTCCATCCCAGGCCAGGGAGGTTACCCACATGGCGAGGCAGACCTCTCCTGTCCCACCCACTGCTCCCCTCAGCAGTGTATTTCAATCAGTCCACTTGTTTTGTTCCCCACCACCCTGCACCTCTGGCCTGTATCCCAGTTCTTGTATGCATAAATAAATCTTAAAAGAATATTTATATAGCCTAGCATATGGTGCAATTACAACTAATCCCAATATCTCAATAAATTAAAACAGAAAAGTTTATTTATTGCTTATGTGATAGGTCAATTGTGAATTGGTAGGGAATTCTATCATAGCTAATCAGGGGTCTAGGCTAACAGACCATGAGTTATTTTGAAAATTATAAATTACTGTGGCTAGAGGGAAAGGAGATAAATTAAACGCTCAACTAGCAAGAGACACCAGATACTTGCATTGGGATCTTTGTCCACAATTAGGTTGTCAAATGACTCCATTCAACTGCTGGCGGTGTAAGAAATACAATTCTACCATGTGCCTGGGAAGATGGAAAGCTGGAAGTCTTTAATTTTATTGTTTTAATGACTATACCACATGGTAAATGCTTTTTCCTTTGAAAGGAAATGAGATCAAAGTTAGAGATCAAAAGCTGCTGTCTGGAGAATTACAAAGAAGGTCCACTTTGTGGCAGATAATGTATTTTTCCACCTATTGGATTCACCTGGAACCTCTTAATTAGACCCTTGATTACAATCTGGGCCCTTTCAAGTCCCAGGAAACAGCTGTGCTTTAAGCTTCAAAATAAGCTTATCAAGTAATATAACTGCACTTGTCATGAATTCTTGTGCATCATAAACATACAATAAGAGCTATCCTCTTCGAAGCTCTTATTTTGGAAAATCAAACTTTCCTGCATAGCTGGATGTGCCTATATCCAAAATACATTTAGAACTCTAATTCTGTCATACTTTTTAGAGAGCGTGCTTACTTCTACCTTGTATCTTCCTTGACTGGAAGTCTTAATGACAAAATTTTATTTACTATGTCAGGTATTAAGGTAGATTCTGGATATTTCAAAATGTGTGACTCGGTCCCTTGCAGTATGAGTGGTGAGATAATATGGCCCATGCAATGCCCAGAGTTATGGGGAAATGAGATCTAGCTTGTGGATAAAAGTGGGCTCACTCCTAAGTACATTTCATTCTCACTGCATTCACTCTATGCTCATCTTTCAAATGATTCCATCTTCCTCCCAGCCTCCATGACAACAGGAAACCTGAAACATGCTACCTGAATAACTGGGAAGTAATCTCTCCCAATTAATCTGGGAATTGATATTCTGGTTCATGTTTTATATACTAAGTTCAGTGCACATCAGCTACTCAATTTTTATAGCTTCTACAAGGCAGATAGGATTTGATATGATGTCAAATAAAACTACAAAGAGGTGAATTAAAGTCGAAGCTGCTAATATTAGAGAAATTTATATTTTTCAAAATATAGTATTCAAATTCAAAATACATATCAAATTGTTGGTGAAAAATAACCCCAATCAATACTAAACATTGGTTGGGAGGTAAGCAGAAAGCATCCCTTTTCACTGCTGTACAGGCAAGCTGGTGCAGTTATCTGGTGGTTATCAATAGCATGGGAAGTTAAATGTACACATGCCCAATGATGGGGGATTCCCCTGCATGTACAAAGAAACTCTTACCACAGTACATTATCTATTTCTGTATAACAAATTACTAAAAAACTAAGTTAAAAATGATGTAAAAATAAACTTGTAAAAAGAAAAAAAAAACAAACAAAAAAACTAAGTAACTTAAAACAATAATAAGTGTTGTTTCATAGTTTCTGTAGGTCCATTCAGGTAGGCTGAGTAAGACAGTTCTGATACGTGTCTTGTTTGCTAATATTTTCATATTGGACATGTGAGATAACCAGTAAAACAGGCAGAGGTTCACGGAAATAACATCACTTTAAACCATCCTTACCCATTCAGCCCAATGTTTGTTGAGCCACATTCTCCTGCTCTTTATGATTCTGAACAAATCAAATTGAACTTTTTTGAAAAGAATGTATTTTCAGGTTGATTAAGAAAAACTAAAAAACTAGTTTGTAAAAGTCTTTTATTGTATCCGTGCCACACATAGTAGTGAAAATAACACTCCTAAAAAAAGAATGCTACCTTTTCCACAACATTTTATTTTAAATAAAACTTCAAGTACTCTTACATAGGTACAAAAAAAAATTCTGATCTATTTGCCTCCAACGGGCCACCACAACACACAGTAGATAAAACACAGTGGTTACAAATGTCTTCCAAATTTATTTCTGAGGCAAGGCAAATGGGAGGGAAATGTTTCTATGAAAAAATACTGTGTGCGTAGGAAATTGTCACAATTTTATTCCACATGGATACAAATGATTATACTTTAATTTAGGCCCTGGTGGCTTAAAATTATATAACAAAATAGAAAAATGGAAAACTAATATCCCCTACACCCTGTTTCAAAGGCAGGCACTACCAAGATCAAGGAAACGCCACAGTGTTGGTAGAGGATAATTACTGTACAAGCTGTATAGCTGTAATTACCTTCAGACTAAAATAAAATGCTACAGTCCTTCTAAGGCATAAACAATAATGTCTGCAAACAATATATACACATAATACATATTTAAAACAAGACTTAATATAAACAATAATGAACAG